GATTGCGCACTTGGCGCCAGCTCGGGTCAGTTCAAGATTATACAAGTGGTTTTCTCGCACTTTGCGAGCAGGTCGGCTACATGCACGAAGCAGAGCGGGTGGACCGTTACGTCGGAGGGCTGAAGCCGGATATCTCGCACGAAATTATGCTGCGCGGACTCTCTAACTTCAACGAGATTCTCGCGCTCGCCGAGAAGATCGACATTCTACGCCGACCGAGACCGGGGTCCTATTACGGACATCGCCCTCGGGGACCGACCGAGCACGTCACTGTACACGCCGTTGCAACGAATGCAGTTGCCGCACCGTTTAAGGGGCGCTGCTTTGCTTGCAACAGGCCGGGCCATCGCAAGAGCGAATGCCCAGAGGAGCTGAGGCGCCGAGGAGCACAGCAGGGGAGGGAGTCTCAGAGGCAGGGAAACGCCAGCAGTCGGTAGAAGTTGGGCCAACTACTGACGAGACTGCCTGCTCGCCCAACCACACCGACCCTCACCGAGTCACAGTACCGATTCACGCCATCGATCGGGCTCGGATGAATAAGGAGGGTACAGCGACGGATTGCCCGGTACTGATCTACGGGAAAATACAGGGAGCAGCAGTGAAGATTTTTATTGACGGAGGAGCAAGTCACAGCTTAGTTAATACCGCAACCGCACGGAAATTACAGTTAACACTTAATCGATGCTTACCTGAGATAGATGCACGCTTAGTCGACGGAACGCCACAAGCCATACGGGAAAAAGTGGAGCGAGTAAAAGTCCGCTGCGGAGGGAACTTCGGGTTTACACAGGAAATGCTCGCAACGGCATTGGATGGGCACGACATTTTACTGGGACGTGATTGGGTGCGACGGTATAACCCGCGAATTGACTGGACGACGGGTAGCTGCACAGTGCGAAGTAGTGGTAACTGGGTCGTCCTACCTCGCTGGCAGCCACCCGAGTCTTCGACGGTCTAGGTCAACGCCATCACGATAAAACGGGCTGTCACTGCCGGAGCTGACGTGTACGCAGTGGATATAGCATTAGTGGGAGAAGAGGAGCAGCCGAGCGATTTTCAGAAACTGTTGGCAACTGTACCACCCGTAATTCAGGCACTACTGAAACGATTCCCGAATATCTTTCCGGATGACTTACCACAAGGGCTGCCACCTCAGCGGGCGCATGACCATAGGATCGAGTTAGAACCGGGGGCACAGCCAACTGTACAGCGCCAGTTCAGACTAACACAGCCCGAGCTCGACAAACTAAGGAAGCACTTAGATTATCTGTTAGAGAAGCAGTTTATCCGACCGAGCTCGTCACCGTTCGCCGCACCGATACTGTTCACACCGAAAAAAGACGGAGGGTTTCGCATGTGCATCGACTACCGAGCGCTTAACAGGGTAACAGTCAAATCGCGGTACCCCATCCCCCGCGCCGACGAACTGATCGACCAGCTATGAACCGCACGGGTATTTTCGAAAATAGACTTACGAGGAGGTTACGATCAGATTCGGGTCGAACCATCGGACTGCGCAAAGACAGCATTTAGGACTAGGTTCGGGTCATTCGAGTACACGGTGATGCCTTTCGGGCTGACCAACGCGCCCGCCACATTTCAGATGACCATGAACGAGGCGTTTAGGCCACTTTTAGATAAATGCGTCATAGTTTACCTTGACGACATTCTTGTTTACAGTCGGGACCAGCAGTAGCACTTAGTAGATCTCGAAGCAGTTTTTAAAATTTTAGCGGAACATCGGTTACTCACCAAGGGCTCCAAGTGCAAGTTTTTTCGGGACAGGCTAGAATTTTTAGGACACGTTATTTCGGAGGCTGGAGTTGAAATCGACCCTAAGAAGCTGGATACCGTCAACGCGTGGCGTCCCCCGACGAACATCACAGAACTGCGGAGTTTTTTAGGGTTCATTAATTACGTCCGTCGGTTCGTCCCCGACATGGCACGCTTAACAGCCCCGCTCACAGATTTACTGCGCAAGGGGGTCGTTTTTACGTGGGGGGAGAAAGAGCATGCTGCCTTCTCTGCCCTGAAAAACGTTCTCTGTTCACCACCCGTCCTACGCATCGCTGACCCACATCGCCCCTTCGAGGTTGTTACAGACGCGAGCGACATCGCCATGGGAGCCAAACTGTTACAAGACTTCGGCAACGGCCTCCAACCCATCGCCTACGAATCACGCAAACTGCATCCGCCTGAGCGAAATTACCCGATACACGACCGCAAAATGCTCGCGATCGTACATGCATTCAAAGTGTGGCGCTGCTACTTGACCGGCGCAGACGTGACAGTACGGACAGACCATCGATCCCTACAGTACCTCCGTGCACAACCCCACCTCAACCCACGACAGATTCGGTGGCTCGACTTCCTCGAGTCGAACTTCCATTATACGGTCACCTATAAAAAAGGAGCCTCCAATATCGCCGACGCACTGACCCGCCCCACTACCCAGATCCATGCGATACTACTGGCCCAGACCAGCCCGCTACTAACAGGACTATTTACCCACGGATATCAAACAGACCCATTCTTCACAGGAGGAAACTCGCAGCAATTCGCAGCAGCCAAGGGAGTCTATTACGTAAAAGCTGGAACCGACCGCATCAGGGTACCAGGGTACACACTACTACGGGAATTACTGTTACAGGAGGCACACGACGGAGTTACCTCGGGACATTTCGGAGTAGAGAAAACACGGCAGCAGCTGCAGCGGTACTATTACTGGCCTGAAATGTTGACCGACCTGCAACGACACGTGGCATCATGCCCCACTTGCCAGCTCATGAAGTTAACCAGGAAGCGGCCGGCGGGACAATTACAACCAATCCCACCTCCCGAGCGTGCTTGGCAGCAAGTGACGATGGACTTCGTCACGGGGTTACCGGCCGGGGCGAGCGGGAATGACGCGATCCTGGTCGTCGTCGATCGACTGACGAAAATGGCACACTTCGCAGCCTGCAAGAAATCAATCACAGCCGAAGAAACAGCCCGCCTCTTCATCTCTACCGTCGTTCAACTGCACGGGATACCAGTATCGATCATCAGCGACAGAGACACGAATTTTACCAGCAATTTCTGGCGGAACCTGTGGCAGCAGTTCGGCACGCGACTACAATTCAGTTCATCGTATCACCCCGAAACCGACGGACAGACAGAACGGACAAACCAGACCATGGAGCAGCTCATTAGGGCCACGTGCGACGACCCAAACACGTGGGAGCAGCAGCTGCCACTCATCGAATTCGCATATAACAACGCGCCATCCGCCACGACCCAACAGTCACCGTTTTACCTGAATTACGGACAAGACCCCACAGTACCCATGACCCCAAATCCCGACAACCCCGTTCCACGTCCACAACAATTCACCGAGATTTTGCAAGCAGCACGGACCAGGGCAGCAGAAGCAATAAAAAAATCGAACATCATCGCTAAACGTAACGCCGACCGCCACCGCAGACCTGTCACTTATCAGCCTGACGACCTCGTTTTACTCGACACTCAAAACCTCCGCCTGCCCATCACTCCCAAACTCCGCCCCCGATACTGTGGGCCATTTCGAATTAGCCACATGATCACACCTGTCACCGCGCACCTCCTCCTCCCTGCTGACTGGTACGTCAGCCCCTCGTTCCACGTCAGCCTGCTTCGCCCTTACGTACCATCCACCGGCCAACTCCCACGACATCGACCATCCAGCATGGCACGACCACCATCCGAACCAATCATCACCCCCGACAAAATCCTGAGTCACAGAGTTCGCGACCCCCGAGGAGCCCGAAAGATCGAGTTCCTGATCCGTTGGAAAGACCGTACACCTACCGAGGACAACTGGGTTCCCCTGGACAGAATTGAAAACCACCCTGTCCTCACCGAATATCTGCGCAGCCGAAACTTCAAAGATGTCCACACGCTTTCGTAAGGAGGACCTCCTTAGGAGGAGGGGTAGTGTAAGGAAAACCCCTTTTCCTTACTTCGCATCCCTGCTCAACGCATACATCACTGTAGCACCTCAGTCAGCACCGTTACCACTCGCGATCATCGCATCGACAATCATCCCGCCATTTTCGCACATCGCATCCCGACCTCACGGCTCGGCTGGTAACCTGCGCTCCGGGCCTACGCTTCGACACTTTCCCAACCTCAGTCCCAGGCTCGTCGCGCGACTACCACAGACCATTACCGTTACTACTGTAGTTTCGCTATATATTCTTCGCTCATGCCCTCGCTCATTGTAGTCTTGCTTCGATAGTGCAATTTTCGTTCGTTCACTCAATTGCACTCGTAACACCATCGCAGCAATGCCGTTGACACGCGATTCAGCACTCTGGCCCATGACTTGAGCGGCTGCTGCTTCCTTCAGGGAGCCTCATTCCAACTCCCGATATTTGCACTTTCAACGCGTCCTCAGGCCAAAGCGAGCTTGGCTGGTCGTTGTCTTTGCGAGAGCAGAACAAGCCTGCGAGCTTCCTATCTGGCACTAGACGAGCCTGAACGGCATTGGGTCGCGGAGTAACCATCCCGCGCATTGCGTTGCGTCAGAATCCGACCGATGCCAGCGGAGCGTGTGAGCGCGTAGCAGCAGCGTAGCCATGGTTCCTAAAAGCGACTCGGCCACAGCGGTGCCGCACGTTCGGCGGTGGTTGAGCCACCATTGGCTCCCCTCGCCCGCCGCCGCCGCCACTTCCCCATGCCAAAGGCCCTCTCCGTCCCGCCAGCATCCTAGCACTACCTCTACGACCCTCCCGTGTAGTAACAGCTGTTGCCGCGCCGCCGAAGCCACCACGCTAGAGGGGCGACGGGAGGCAACAGGGGGAGCGGATGATCGTAGTGCAAAGGCGGCAGCGGCGAACTCACAATTAGCCTCACTCAACGTATCCCCAACCCGGCCCTCCGTGCCGCTCCTGTTTAATTCGCGACTCGGTTCTCCATCCCTCGAAGCCGACGAACCACACGCTGCCACGTCACTTGCCAGCCCCGCTCTGCTTGTGCCGCCAATGCCGCTGGCCATAAGGGTCGAGGCTACGGGCGGCATGACGTGCCAGGTCGCGGGGGAGGGCAACACATCAGGGCGATCGACGGCAAGCGCCGCCAGCGCCAGCAACGCGGAGTGGAGCCCTCCGCGGGGCGCGCGCACCGCCAGAGAAGTCGGTGGGGGCAATGCGAGGCGGCCGGCGGGGGCGGCCGCGGAAGGGAGGGGACGGAGCGGCGCGAGCAGCAAAGACGAGGCTCGTTTGGACGACGAGCGCCGCCTCTCGGAGCATTCACCGGCGCACGCCGCCGACACGGCTGCGCCCGCTCCCTCGTTGCGCCATGCGCACTCATCCCCCTCACGCGCTCACTCCGCCGCCACAGACGACGGCGTGTCCACGCCCGTCGCCGCACCGCTGCCCCACGCGCACAGCGCCGCCAGTCCCCGCGGGAGTAGTAGCGAGTCCCGTTGGTGGAAGCACGGAGGGCCGTCGGGCGGAGGATGGGGCCTCGGGCGCAGCTGGAGCAGCAGCGCTGTCAGCCATCCGCGCGCCGAGGTGAATGGCGGAGTGGGCGATAACGCACCAAGTGGTGCGGGGAGCGGCGGCGGCGGTGGCGGAAAGGTGTGGTGGTTCGGGTACCGGCGGGGCATCAGCGCGGACTACGACATCGGCGACCTGGTCGGGCGCGGGCGCACGGGGGAGGTGCGCCGTGCGACGGCGCGCAAGAGCGCGCGGAAAGGGCGGCGGGGAAAGCCCGAGGAGCGGGGACCGCCGGTGGTGGTGAAGACGATCTGCAAGGCGGAGGTGCGCGGCGCGGGGTGAGAGCGCGGGGAAGGCGTTTTGGGGAAGAAAAGGGGGGACGGGGGAGGAGAAGGCTGTGGGGGGACGGGGAAGGCGAGAGAGGGGAGGGACAGATGGGGGAAGAGCATACTTTTTTGTGCTGGTCGTAATCGAATCGTGCATCGCGAAAAAGTTCGTGCTCTCAAAAGTGTTCCAGGTAGCTTTTGTTGCGGAAAAGCTGCGGAAAAACAACTTGGAGCTGCGGTAAAGCTCCGGGAGACAAAGCTCCGTGCATCATGTCATGTCATGTGGCGTCGCTGCTCTGCCGTTCTTTAGTCTTTCCACCCTCTCTCACTACGCGCTCATGCCTATCACAGCGCTATCGGGCTAAATTCACTTGACCAGATTGCGCCACTGCCAGCACCGCGCCGGACGCGTGTGTCTGCGTCGCGCCTCTCAACCCCCCACCCCACTCCCCGCGTCCCATGCGCGCAGCTCACGACGGAGGAGTCGCGCGAGGCGATGCGGCGCGAGGTAGCGATTCAGCGCATGCTGCCGGCGCACGCGCACGTGGCGGCGCTCGTGGACGCGTACGAGGACCGCCGCAACGTCTACCTCGTGCTGCAGTCAGTGCCGCCGCCCCCCGCGCGCGCGCCTTTCCTGCTGCTCGCGTGCCCCTATCCCCGCTGCTCGCGCACCGCCCCCTTTACTCGCGACTCGCAGCCAGCGGCTTCTCTTAGCGACGCGCAGCGCTGTTGCCGCTTTACCCTCCTCTCGCGGCTCCCATGTGACGCCATGTGTGCGTGCGGTGACGTGTGTGGTGTGTGGCAGGGAGTGCGAGGGCGGCGAGCTCATGGACCTCATGATGGCGCGCGGGTGAGTCACTCGCCTTCAACCCTCCTTCCCCCTCGTCCCTCACCGCACCATGCATTCCCCTGGCCCCGCAAACTCTCCCCGCCGTGGGTGACTCAATCCGCCCCCCCATCCGCCCCTGTCCCCCCTGTGCGCATGCGCGCGAGCGCAGGGTGGGACATGCGGGCGAGGCGGCAGCGCGGCACGTGGTGTGGCAGGTGCTGCTGGCCCTGGCGCACTGCCACGCACACCTGGTCGTGCACCGCGACATCAAACCCGAGGTGGGGGGGGGGGAAGGGTCACGGTGAGGAGAGGGATGCCATGCCTGTGCCAGCAGGGCGAGAGAATGTGGCGACGCAATGCAAGTGCAGCACGGGCTTACCGCATGGCCCTGTTCCCACGCCATTCACTCCTCCCTGCTCTCTCTTCCCCATGCTCCTATCCCATCCATGGCACAGAACGTGCTTCTAGCCAAGAGCAGCAGCGCCCATGAACCCCCCCTTGTCAAGCTCATAGACTTCGGCCTGGCGGCGCTGCTGCCGCCCCTGCCCCTCTCTGCCTGCCCTGCGCCCACCAACGCTGCCGCTGCATGCCCTACTACTGCGCACAGTGCCACAGCAGCAGCCCCCCGCGCTCAACAGCAAGAGCAAGGACACCACCAGCAGCACCAGGCCCAGCCAAACTCGAGCCTGCCCATCCCACCGCCCGCCCCCGCGCCCGCCCCCCCCGCCGAAGGCCTCCTCTCCTCACTGCCCCCTGTGTGTGTGGCGCTGCCGCAGCTGCACGAGCCGCTATGGGAGCTGCTGGGATCGCAGGACTACCTCTCCCCGGACGTGCTGCGCGCCAAGTACGGCACGCCCAGCGACCTCTTCTCCCTCGCGTCGCTGGCGTACCTGCTGCTGTGCGGCCGCCTGCCCTTCTCGCCTGTGCCGCGCTGCCTGCGCACCACCATGCACGCTGTCGCCACGCAGCAAGCCGGGTTCACGGAGAGCGCGTGGGGGGGCGCGGGTGAATCCGCGGGCGTGGGGAGGGAGGCGTGTGTGTCGGGGGAGGGGCGGCGCGCGGTGCAGAGCCTGATGGCCAAGGACTCTGCCCGTCGCCCCACCGCCGCCATCATGCTCTGTGCGTTGGGGGATGCTCTTTCTGTGCTTGGGGGGTGCTTTGCGGATGGGCAAATTGTGCAGGGGATGCTGCGATGATCGTGGATAGGGTCATTCTGTGTGCACAGCTAGCACTCCGTTTCCTGTGTCCCCTCTCTATGCGCCCACCAACCCTCATCACGCCACCCCCTCACCCCTCACCTGGCCCCTCCACCCCCGCCCCTCAATGCATGTGGCCAGGCCACCCGTGGTTCCATGATCTGCACAGCCTGCCCGCACTGCTCACTGCCACGCCTGCTACCAGTGCACCTGGCAGTGCGCCTGCAAGCCCTGCCACGCCCCTGGACCCCTGCGTGCCCTTGTGCCTGCTGCACGTGCTGGTGCTGCCTGCCACGCACAAGCACCACCTCCAGGTGACTGCCCACCCCACCCTCGCTCCACTGCACGCACCAGTGCAGCCTTGCATGACCAACCATCCCAGCCTTGCAGCACTCGCAGTGCTTGTGACTCGCATCGTCTCTGTGCGTGGCCACCGTCCTGCCATCACGCACATCCCTTGCTTGTGCAACCTAGCGTGCATCCACACGACCGTCACGCACATCCTTGCTCTTGCGTCATCGTCACCCATGCCCGCACCTTGCTGTGCAACCCCACTGCCTCTCCCCACAGGACCGCCAGTGTTGCATTCCTGCTTCCGATCCCTGCACCCATCGTCCCTCACATGTCAGCCTTCGCCTCGCCTCTCTCCGCACTGCACCGTACCACCCCATCCCATGCAAACCCAGTCCCAGGCCTTGCAGCTGTATAAGGACCATGCGTGGGTGCGCGTGTATGCGGCGGTGCAGTGCCGGCACGTGGTGGGCGTGTGGCCGGGGGACAGCACGCACGTGGAGCAGGAGGGCGAGAGCGAGAGCGTGTCCATGTCGCACGTGCACAAGGTGGGCTGCACCCTTTGCTTGCACCGGGTTGAATGCTCGCACGCCCACGCAATCCTTGCCATTGCTGCCCGCCCTTGTCTACTCAGGACTCGCCTCGTCTCCCATGCTGCTGTTCAGTTTCGCTGGATTCTGGTGCATGCCATGTCATGCCATGCCATCTCATGCTATGCTATGCTATGCTATGCTATGCCATGCCATGCCACGCCATGCCATGTCATGCCATGCCATGCCATGCCATGCCATGTCCTGCCATGCCATGCCATGCTATGCCACGCCATGCCATACCATGCCATACAATGCAATCAAATCCCGTGCCATGCTGTGCGGTGCATGCAGGTGCTCTCCCTCTGTGCGTGCAAGCCTCTAGCGGACTCCTTCCTCAAGCAGGTGGGCCACCACTCATGCGCCTCTGCACTGCGCTCTGCTTGTCCCTCTCGTGCCACCACCTCTATCCCTCTGCTATGCACCTCATTGAATGCCATGCCATGCCATGTCAAGGCTCTCGCGCAAGGCACACGGCTCATCAGCTTGTCATATGTGGTGTGGTGCGTGCAGGTATCACGACTGGGACTGAAACGAGCACGAGCAACGCAGTTAGATGTGTTGATGGCCTCAACCTTGGTTATGTTACCGTGTTTATCATAGTTCATCATGTTAACAACTTTCCCTTACTTCGTGTCACACTGCATACAGCGTACAGGACATTCCAGCCACTGTACACCCAACAGCAGCCCACCCCGCAGCACTCGCCTCGGCGCTTTTCCCGCCATCACGACATCACGTCCAAACCACCCGGTTCGGCTGGTAACCTGCGCCCAACCTCGGCACCAGGCCATAAGGGCACCCTTTCGCGAGCGCGGTACCATTAGCAGTTCTGTCGCTATTTAACAATTCATGCATGCCTTCGCTCATTCTATTGTTTGCTTCGATAGCGCAATTCTCGCTCGCTCACTCAATTGCACTCGTAACACTTGTTCAAGTCTCATCATCGGCTCTTAGCCCAGCAAGAAAACCACTGGAAATGCGGAATTATGAGTTGTAGAAAGTGCGCTTGTAACGGACCCAAGGAACTGGCTTGGGTGTTTGTCAGAAGCTCAGCAGCACTTCGCGAAGCCAATCCAAGGGCCTAATTCAAACAACTCCACATACCGACAGACACCGTCCTTCCAATCGTCGTCCTCTCTCCGTCAACCACGCTCGTCCCGTGGTACTTTCCCCGTACAAATCGGGTACAACGCCCTGGCCCCATCCCCGCCCTCCGCGCGCGGCTCTTCTCCGCTCGCCCCGCTCCGCCATGCCGTCGTCCTACCCGCTCCCCGCCACCACCCGCCCCCCATCGTCCTCCGCCGCCGGGCCCCTGTTCGCCAGGGATCGCGCCGCAGGCGCGCCGGGAATGGCGGAACCGGGCGTGGCGTGGGGCGGCGAGAGGGACGGCCGGGGGCGCGAGATTCCGCATCGGGGGGAGCAGCAGCCCGCGGGGGGCGCGGAAGGGGAGCGCGAGGCGACGTTCGAGGAGCGCGTGGCGCGCAGCATCCTGGTGGACGAGCTGTGCGGCGCCGTGACGCCCGCCGCGCTGCAGAGCGCGCTGGGGCAGTTCGGCACGGTGCGCTCCGTGCAGATGGTGCCCAACCTGCTTCACCCGCGCCGCTCGTCCGGCTGCGCCATCGTGGAGCTGCACTCGCGCCACCTCGCGCTCAAGGTGCGCGCGCGCAACAGCGCCTCCCGCTCTTCCCTCTCCCCTTCCCCGCACTCTCCCCTCTTCCCCTCACACCCCCGCCCGTTGCCTCCTAAGTCTCTGCCCGGCGTCCACTCCCCGTTTCTCCTATCGACTCCACCCCACTGCTAGTGCCGAATCGTGCGATAGGACGTCGCCGCCCTTATTCCGTCTCCGCGCGACGCAACCCCGTCCCGCCCCTGTCCCCGCCAGATGCTCGCGGACATAAGCGAGTCGATCCTGATCGTCGGCGCGGGGCCCCGCCCCGTGCGCGCGTACAAGGCGCGCGCCGACATGTTCGACGGCGCGTTTGTCTTCCCCTCTGCGCTGCACGCCGCCGCGCTCCCGCAATCCGCGCCCGCCGTTACTTCCGCCGCCGGCGCGCAGAGCTCCCCCCTTTCCGCCGCGTCCGCCCTCCCGGGGTTCCGCGTCACGGACGCTGCGGGGGAGGGCGCGGCGGGAGGGGGAGCGGACGGGGGTAGCGGGGAGGCGGGTGGCGCGGGGCAGGGGAGGTGGCGGTGGCGGCTGACTGTGATGGAGGAGAGGCAGCGGGGGGGTGGCGGAGCGGGGGGGGTAGAGGGCGGGGTGAAGAAAGCAGGCGGAGGGGGAGGGGAGAGGGGAGTGGGGACGGTGGAGTGGCAGCGCGCGCGGAGGTGGAAGGAGGTTGCGGGCAGGCAGGCAGAGGAGATGAAGATGCTGACAGAGGTGAGGCACGGGCAGGGAGGACGATGAAGCGCGCTGAGTGGGTGGGCAGGCAGGTGAAGCTGCTGCTGCCATGCTGGTGGTGGTGGTGGGCTCATGTGTTGAGCATGTGTGCACTGTGGCGGCCTTGCCATGTGTCATGTGCACCGATTGCAGCTGCACCACGTCCACTCGCACTGCCTGCTTCCTTTCCACGCCACACGCTGCCGCTTCTACCACACATGTGCCCCCCTGTTTGCCTCTCTCCCATCCACATTTCCCATCACCCCTCCCATCCCTTCCTCACCGCAACACCCTTCCCCTCCCTCCCGCACCATCCCACCCCTCCTCCCGCTCCCTCACTCTCCTCCATCTCCCTGCCCTCCCTACCGTGCATGGCTATGCGGGCAGCACGTGGAGGCGGAGAAGCAGCAGGTGGGGGAGAAGCAGCGCGCGCGCATAGAGGAGGACCTGCGGCGCCTCACACTCATCGACCACGCCATGGCGCCCGCGGGGGGCATTGCACAGCTGCGCCACTTCTATGGCATGCCACACATGGACTTGAGCACCATGTGAATGGGAATGTGGTGCGCTGCGTGCACGGTGCATGGTGCATGGTGCATGCCCCTGATGTAGGGTTTCTTAATATGATACGGTAGGCTTGTGTTTGGAGTATAGACGATGCGTGATGATGCTGCTGTCCCCTAATGTGGTGTATGTGGTGCTCTACAATGTACAGCTTTTGAAGCCCATATGACATGCTTGCCTCCTGTATTTGAAAAACTTGTGTTCGTTTTTCTTAGTCGTCATCGATTAATTCAGAATAACCGCCTTTCCGAGTCTTGATCGTTCACGAAGCGCTATAGCGCGTTATCCCCTCCCAGCTGGTGTCGGCTGATGCAAGCAATGCAGCACATGGAGGTTGCTTGAGCAACCAACGCAAGCAACACTCGCATAGCACAGCACGGCAGGATCTGACTGGAGGTTACTGCCCGATTCAACTCGCAGTATATCGCTTGCTACTGCCAATTAGGCTTCGAATTCCTTGGCTGCACGCCGCTCGAGCTGCCACATCTTTCACTCTTTTCACCGTCGTGCCAGCGAAAGAAGCCTCGTGTGCGTGGGTGCGCTGGATTCGGCAGCGGATTCACTAGGCTCTAGTCGGCCACCCCTCACAGGTACGTCACGACTCGTGAGTCGACTCAGAAGGATTGAATAGACCCGAGAGTCGATCGCCCCAGGTACGTCGTAGCCTCTCCATGCCTGCGCCGTCCACGCGTGGAGCTCGCACGCCCTGCCGACTCGTTCGTCTCCCGGATCTCACTTCATCCCTCGAGGATTGGTACTTTAGTGCCGTGCGCGCGGTGCGTGCTTGCCGTCAATCTGCCCGTCTTTTCGCCGCGCTTAAGCCCGTGCACCCGCTGAGGAAATTTTTGAGTCGACTCAAAAGTCGCAGCGCTCAAGCCCGTCGACGACTGCGGCGGGGTCTGGCGGCGACGGGATTCGCGCGTGCGGATTATGCTCGGCCAATCTGGAGCGATGACCAGGATGTCGCGACTGATGAGATCCGTTGGGATCTGATTTTGCTGCAGCCCCAAACCGTGTTTATCGTCGGTCCCCGATGTCCCACTTATGATGCCACACCTGCTCCTCGCGTCGTCGCGCACGCTGCGTTTCGAATCTCGCCTCTGTTCGTTCCGATCTACTAGCAGCCCTTGAGCCTCATCCACTAGTAACACCTTCAATTCCCTGCCACCCTTCTTCCGCGCACTTTTCACTGCCATCCCATCATCGCTCTTCCCGCCCACCCTCACTCCGCTCTCCCCCGCTCCCCCCCCCCCCCCTCTCCGTCTGTCTCCTCGCACCCCCTTTTTATCCTCCCCCCCACCCGTCTATTTCTTTCTCCCCCCGTCTCTTTCCTTCCCCCCAGTCCCTCTCCCACCCCCCCCCGTCTCTCTCCTCCCCGCCCGTCTCTCCGCGCTCCCCCGTGGTTCGTCGCCCTGTGCCAGCTCTTCCCACACCAGCGCAGCCATGTCGTCGTCCGCGGCGCCAGACGACGATCTCGTCTCTAGTTTCTGCGCCATCACGGGCGCGGCGCCCGACCAGGCGCACTTCTTCCTCGACAGCAGCGCCGGCGCGCTCGACGCCGCCATCTCCGCCTTCTACGACCACAGCGGGGACGCCGCCGCTGCCGCCGCCGCCGCCGGCGGTGCCTCCGGGGACGACAGCGACGACACCGGCAGCCGAGGCGTCGCCGCCGCCGTCGCTGCCGCGCCGCCGCGCGATCCGCGTGCTGCTGCGGCGGCGGCGGCAGCAGCGCGTGCGGGCGGGGCGGCAGTAGGTGGCCCCACGAATCCCGCGATGACGTCACAGGCGATGTTCTCCGCGGGAGGCGCGGAGGAGGGCGGCGAGGAGGTGCAGCAGCGGCAGCCGCGGGTGACTGCGCCCATCGGGGGACCGTCAGGGGCGGGGGGGGGAACTAGCGGAATTGGAAGATTTGTGGGGGGAGTGGGGAAGGGGAAAGGGAGCAAGAGAACGGGGCACGGCGGGGGAGGGGGAGGCGGGCGGATTCGGACGCTGGGGGATATTGGGAGACGGAGGGACGAGGATGAGGAGGAGGACGATGAGGATTACGAGAATGAGGATGACGACGACAGAGAGGAGTATTATGCCGGGGGGGAGAAGAGGTGCGCACGCCCTTGCCTACCGTTGCCCTCGTGCGCCTTGCCATCTGTTGCCTCGTTCATCGTGCATGCTCGCCCCTTCCCTGCTCCCTCCCTCCCTCCTCCCTCCGTCCCTCCCTTTCAATTCCTCGCTTCGTTTCTGCTGCCGCGTTTCCGTGGCGTCCCCCCGCCCCCAACCCCACACCACCCGCTCACCTTTTCTTGAATTACCTCTGCCTCGTTCATCTATGGGCAATTCTCAAATTCCTTCTCAATCCCTCCATCTTCCCCTCCCCCTTCCCCTCCCCCTCCCCCTCTTCCTCCCCCTGTCCCCCTCTCCCCCCCCCCCCTTTCCCCATCAGCGGAATAGCGGTGCAGGACCCCAACAAGCGCAGGGGGCCGGGCGGAATGGCGGCGCGGGGGGGGGCGGGCGGGGGCGCGCTGGACGTGGACGATATCTTCGCGCGCGCGCAGCAGCAGGGCGCGCGCCAGGGCACCTCCGCGGACCTCGACGCGGGCGCAGGCGCAGGCGGGGGCGCGCGGAGAGACGCGGGCGCGTTCAGCGGAGTGGGGAGGACGCTGGGGGGCCCAGGCGGGGAGGGGGCAGGGGGAGGTGCGGGCGCGGAAGCAGTGACGGGGCAGGGGCAGGGGCAGGAGGAGATGGCGGGGGAGGGCGGGCGGCGGGTGGTGCGGCACACAGTGACGTTCTACCTGAACGGGTTCACGGTGGACGAGGGGCCTCTGCGCCAGCTGCAGGACCCCGCCAACGCCGCCTTCCTCAAGGTGCGTTCCCCCCCACATCCCTCCGCCTCCATGCCGCTGCCACGGGCACCTAGGCCTGGCCGCGCCCAGCCCCCTGCCACGCTACTCCGCGCTGCCACGATCTTGTGCCCTGCCTTGCCATTGCGCCCTATCCTTTGAGACTGACCAACCACTGCACTGCTCACCGGCAGCGCTGCTCCTCCACCCCACCCACCCGTTGCGCTTGCGCCCTGCCTCCTCGCAACGTCCACCCACCTCCGCCCCTTTCTTCCGGCTCCTCTACCCCGCTCCACTGCTGAACTGGTGTTCCCTCTCGCTCTCATTTCATCCCCAACCCCCTCTTCCCGGTGTACTTGTCCGATCCTCCCTCCCCTCCTTGCCATCCCTGCCTCATCACCTCTCACTCCATTTCTCGTGCTCTTTCGTTCGTTATTTCGGAGCTACCTGCAAGGCCGTGAGTGCACCTTTGTGCTTTGCTTCCTCCCTTCCACCACTCAACCTTCCAGCCGCACCCCCTCATCTCCACGCCCTCTTTCACCCCTTCCTCTCATCTCCTCCTCTCAACCCGCCATCTCAACCGCTGCTCACCCCCTCCTTCCTATCCCTCGTCTCGCCCCCTCATCTCAAACCCCCCGTCTGTCCCTTCTCTCTCCCCCCATGCACCCTCCCTCCCCCTCTCTGCTGCTTGCGCCCACCCCCCCAACCCCGCCCCCCACATGCCCACGCCCACATGCGCCCTCCCCCCGCGTGCCCCAGAGCATCCTGGAGCGCGGCGAGTGTCCGCGCGAGCTGCAGAGCGCGGACCCCAACGAGGACGTGGAGCTCAACCTGCTGCGCAACAACTCCCAGTGGACGGTGGGAGCAGGGCGAGGGAACAGGGAGAGGGGGAACAGTGGGAGAGGGGGAACGGTGGGAGTTGGGTGGGAAGGGTAAGAGGTGGTGAGGGAGAGGTGGGGTGGGGGTTGGGGAGTCTGGATCAGGGACGGGAGAGGCGCAAGAGTCACTGCATGTATTTGAGATTGGAACTGCCCTGTTTTGCAGTGTCGACAGTTACTGTGCATGTGTTATAAGCGGGGATGTGGGCATGGGAGGAATGCGGGCATGGGAGGAATGCGGGCATGGGAGGAATGCGGGCATGACTTTTGTCCTCTCCTGCCGCCTTGTTCGCATTCTGCTGCCCCCCCCTCTCCTTCCCCCCCCCCCCCCCCACCCACTCCGCCAGCCCCCCCCAGAGCCCAAGTACGTGGCGTTCTCAGGCCAGGGCCGCACGCTGGGGGATGCTGCTGCCGCCTCCGATGCACAGGCGCCACCACAACCCCCTGCTGCTGCTGCACCTGCTGCCACTGGCCCCACCAACCCACAGGCCCCTGCTGGAGGTGACATTCTTGCCGCCCTGCACCCGCCGCTCCCCTTCTCACCCTCCGCCCTTCACTGCCGCTCCTCATCCTCTCTCCCCGCTTGCAGACTCGTCCCCCCTCCCCGACTCGCCCTCTGCCACCATCTACTGCCACCATTCATTGTGCGTCGCTGCTTGCACTTTGGCAGTGCGGCTGCTCTGAGCATGCACTGCCAACCTGAGCATGCACTGCCAACCTGAGCATGCTGTTCGTCCCTCCACATGTGAATGCCTGTTTGCCTGCCAGTAGCACACCTCAAGCCCCCACCGCCACCCCCCTCTGCTGACTGCCCTCTTCCGCACGCCATGCGTCCCCTCACCTCTCCCATCGCCCTCCCACCCGCCCCTCGTACCCCCACCTTGATACCCACCTTCCCGCCCCTCCCCCTTTCCCCTCCCTCTCCCCGCCGTGCAGGTCTACAGGTGGACGAGTCCCAGCCAGTGACGTCCATCCAGGTGCGGCTGGCGGACGGCACGCGCCTGGTGGCGCGCTTCAACCACGCACACACCGTCGCCCACATCCGCGCCTTCATCGACGCCGCCCGCCCGGGTGGCAGTGCCGGGCGGCGGTACTCGCTGCAGACCATGGGGTTCCCGCCCAAGCGGCTGGAGGATGAGAGCCAGACCATTGCGGCCGCCGGGCTGGTCAACTCCGTGATCGTGCAGCGGTGATGGGGGGTGGGCGGGAGGTGGGTCGGGGGGGTGTGTATTGGGCGGTGACGAGAGAAGAGGTGGTTTAAGGGAAGAGAGAGCAGTTGTGAGTTGAGAGGGAGTGGGAGGTGGGGCAGAGAGGGAAAGCTATGGTGGGGGTTAGGTCTGTTGGGCTGAGAGAAAGCCCTTAGGATCTTTTCAAGGCTAAGACCCTGTGCACGAATATTGTAATTGCGGAAGCGTTATTAGTGAACTGTTGAACCACCTTGCGCTAGTGTGTGAAAGCAAGATAGATTGATAAAGCAAAGTAATACAAGGCTTTTTATAAGAACACAGAGAATACGAAGAGATGCATTTTGACCGTTTTGTTGCTGTTGCGTTTCGATGCAGCGACGCTCGGGCATTTGCTCTATACCGAGTCAGTTGTGTGTCCCTTGCTGTCGCGCTGCCTTTCGTCAAGTCAAAGGTCGCTGACCTTTGACCTTCGCGTAATCTCCAGCTGTTACGTTTTGTCAACATCCTCGGTTGACACGTCGTTGCTTCACTGTAACTTGCCTTGTTTCCAACACTCCCCTTCGCTTCTGGAGTGTCGTTGCTGGTGACGTGGCCTTGTCCAGTCAGCAGCATGCAGTACTCGAACTTCTGCTTTCCGAGTTTCTTGGTCAAGTACGGTAATCGACTGCTATCTCGGATGTGGGGCAGTAAGATAGCTCGAGTCTCTCCTTCTCGATCTCATAGAAATATCGTAGGGCGATGTGCTTCGTTCGATTCGCGAACCCGTTCTTGTTCACTATGCGAATTGCTGATTGGTTGTCGCAGAACAGGGAGAAGCTGGGTAACTGAGCCAGCTTCGCTTCTTCCACTAGTTCAGCTTAGAAGAGAGCAATTAGCTCTTGCTTGCTCGACTGCCACGAGATTGGGACGATAGGCTCGAGTCGGTAGATGTTGCCAGTGCGCGATCGCCTGTTGTTGGAGTCGCCGGCGTGGTCAGCATCCACGTAGCCGATTAGCTTGGGCGTCGTGGTTCCGGTTTTGTGGTAGGTTAGACCGATTGTCGGAGAGCTGACGAGATAGTGAAGTGCGCGGTCGAGCTCCGCCATATGATCCGCTTCAGGTTTCTTGAGGTAGGTGGCGAGTTGGCTCGATGAGTACGATAGGTCCGGTCGGCAGGTAGCGGCTGCAAAGAGTAGACATCCCAGCTTTCGCTGGTAGTCACGAATGCCGGCGGATTTGAGCAGAGCGGAGGTTTCCTTGCGATTTCCGTCAGTGTAGCGGTATGGTGTGGCGATGGCGACTGGGGTTAGTCAGAAGCGCTTGGCGATGGTGTCGGCGTATTTCGCGGCGCTGAGATGGATCGCGTTCTCCCCGTCTTGTATGTTGAGTCCCAGGTACTGCGTAACTGTTGAGGAGACGGTGAGTGTGAGGTCTTGCTGCAGCTCCCCTTCAAACCAAGTCGTGATGCCGTCGGTTAAGCCGATGTAGAGCAGATCGTCCACGTAGACGATAAGTAGGATGTAGTCGGCGCCTTTCGTGAGTCGGTACAGCCCTTGGTCGTGCGGCAGCTGGCGGAATCCGATGCGAATTAGTCGGGTGTGTAGATATTGCTGCCACAACCTCGGGGCTTGCTTGATGCCGTACAAGGATTTCAGCAGTTGACATACTTGGTTGGGTTTTGTGTTAGACCCGTGGCGGTTGCTCGATGAAGATCTCAACATCGACGGGAGCGTAGAGAAAGGCGTTTGCAATGTGGATTTGGCGGAGCTTCTTCCGCTTCATGGCGGCATCGCAAGGAGAATTCGGAGAGAGGTATGTCAGCTAACCGGTGCGAAAGTTTCGGTGAAGTCTCGTCCATGCTCTTGGTCGAAGCCGCGTACGACTCTGCGCGCCTTAAACTTATCAATCGTTCCGTCAGCTTCTGTCTTCACGAGGAAAACCCATTTTCCCGTGAGAACGGTTTTGTTGCGTGCCACTTTGATAGGCACTATCTTCCAGGTGTTTCTGTCTTCTAGCGCCTTCAATTCCCTGTACATGGCTTCGCGCCATTTTTCCCTGTGCTCCCCCCCCAGAGCCTGCTGAACCGTGGTAGGATCCTTTGGTGGCGCTGCTCCGTGGATGGCGGTGACGAGTCCTAGTAACTGCAGCCCACTCTGTGTGTAGCGAGGGAGATTTGCGTCCTCGGGATAGACTGCTTCGTTTCCCACTTCTAGATCAGGTAAGAAATTTAGGCCCATGCTTTCTGAAATGTTGGTGTCGACTGGCTGGGGTATAACGTAACCGTTGTCGGCAAAGTCGTAGTAGACTTCGGCATTGATGCTTTCGCGAGGGTTGTCGTCGTCCATTGGTACGTCAAATGAACAGTAAAGAAGAGGTCCGGCTTCTTACGATGCTCTATCCACATTCTGCTCGTCCCAGTCAGCTTCATTTGCTGTCGAAGCGAAGGCTCGGTCGCCACGAAATCCGCCTGTGAGGTCTCGTTCTCCTCCCTAGTTGTCTAGGTACGTTTGGAGGGTGTGTCGTTCGTAGAAAATCGCATCACGTGCTACCACTGTTTCCTTCGTGTAAACACAAAAAATCTTCCACGCGTTGTAGTGTTTTTCGATGCCCAGGTGTAGTCCCCACTGTGCGCGTTGGGAGAATCGGCCGGCTCGTGCAGCTGGGGGTCGGTACTGTACCATGCAGCCGAACACTCGTAACATTTTTGTGCTGCCCAACTCTTCTGTCCACAGCAGGTGCGGTGATGGTTGTTCGGGAGCGATGATGACGAGAGCAAGTTGTGCAACATTACAGCGTGGTCCATCGCCTCGGGCCACTGGTGGTTGGGTAGCCGCATGCTGCCAAACTATACATGTGCTAGTTCTGTGTAGGCTATAGTGGGGTAGCCTGTATGTGGTAACTTGTATCCACAATCCTTTCAATGCAGTCCATTCTAGCTTCTAATCTTGACATGGTATTAAGAGCAGTAGGTTTGTAGGACCGTTTTTTCTCCCGGGCCCACCATACTTAGCGACCAATTGCGGTTACCGCGTTACCCCACTACTCTGCGTCGCGCCGCCCACGCACGCCCTGCATGCCCTGCCCCGCGTCGCACTGCCTCGCGCACGCCCTGCCCTGCCCCGCGTCGCGCTGCCCCGCGCTCGCCCTGCCCTGCCCTGCGTTGCGCCCTACGGCAGCCCGCACGTCGCGCTCTGCTGTCCCGCGTGTCCCGCTCTGCTGCAGCCCGCCCGTCGCGCCCACTGCCCTGCGCGTCGCGCCCTACGGCAGCCCGGACGTCGCGCTCTGCTGTTCCGCACGTCGCGCTCTGCTGCAGCCTGCGCGTCGCGCCCTAGAGCCTTGCACGTCGCGCCCTACGACAGCCCGCGCGTCGCGCTCTGCTGCCCCGCGCGTCGCGCTCTGCTGCAGCCCGCGCGTCGCGCCCTTCTTCCCCGCGCGTCGTGCCTTGCTGCGGCCCGCACGTCGCGCCCTGCTGCCCTGCACAGCGCGCGCCCTGCTGCCCGCCCCGCCCAGGCCGAGCCGAGCCGCCCTACCCAACCCGATCCGCCCTGCTGCTCGTGCTACTGCTGCTGCTGGTGGAGGTGCTGCTAGGAGTGCTGGAAGTGCCGGAGCCTAGCCTCGCCGAGCCGCTCTGCTGCTCTTACTGCTGCTGCTGCTACTCGTGCTACTGCCTTCACTCCGTACTGCCCTAGAGGTCGCGCTCCTCCTAGCTTGCCCGCCATGACTTCACTCGCAGCAGCAGTGGGAGTGGTGCCGGCGGTGGTGGCAGCAGTGGGAGTGGTGGCGACCGTAGTAGCAGTCACTGTGGCGTTGTTCGGTGCGGAGTTTCTGGCGGTGGCCAGATGCAGCTACACCCGCGTCCAACCCTTACGCCCCAGCAGCTTCGTGAGTGGCTTTACCAGCGTGGGACGTCCCCGAGTCCTGGTCACTGCCCGTACGTCATTCGCACAGGTCGTCGAGCTGGTCAGATCTGTGGGACAGCTGGTCACGCACAGTCCCGTTGCTTCTCCTATTTGAGTGACGCTTGGCACGCAGAGTTTGGAGACGAGGCTGAGATCCCCCACTGGCTTGAGTTGCTTAGGTCGGGCGTTGATGTCTTTGCTTTAGACTATGACGCCATCCTTACTGCCATGTATGCTTTGCCTGGTGGTGCTGAGGGTGACTGTTACCTGTGTGTGCAGCACGACCCCGGTATAGAGGTTACTACTCTGGGTGCTAGTGAGGCTGCTGCCTTAGGTGCTAGAGAGTCTGCTCTCTCAGGTACTGCACCTACTGAGGCCTTGCACACCTTCACGCTTGACTCATGTGCTTCCCGCTGTTTCTTTTGCGACAGTACCACACTCACGCCACTCCCTGCACCTGTTGCAGTGTCTCTGGCTGACCCCACAGGGGGCCCAGTTCTTGCACGGTTCACCACTATGCTCCCGTGCCCGGCGGTTCCGTCGCGCTCACTATCAGGCCTCCACCTCCCCTCGTTCTCTACGAACTTGGTGAGCACCGCAGTTCTCCAGGACCAGTGGGTTGACACCTTTACCCCTGGAGGACAGCGTGTGGTGATCTGTACATGCTCCCAGACTAGCCGCCACCTAGTCACGTTTACCCGTTGGCCAGGGTCGAGTCTTTACACACTGACAACTGCGCCTCCTCAGGTAGCTGCTACTGGTCAGGTGTCTGCGTTAGGTCAGGTAGCCTCCCCTTGTGAGATGTCGCTCCCTGTCGCACCAGACTCTTCTCTCGCACCACCGCCTGGGTCACCACTCCTTGCAACGTCTACGTGGCATGAACCGTCGCCTCCTTGTGTCTGGTCTTCCTAGGTCTCTCCCTCCCCTCCCTGCCTCCCCTGCGCCGCCCTACCTTACTTGTGTCGAGGGGCGGCAGCGCGTCGCTCCTCAATCCTCCTCGTTTCCAACAACAGAGGCTCCCCTGCAAACCCTCCACCTGGACGTGTGGGGCCCAGCCTGCGTTCGTGGCCTGGGCGACGAGCGGTACTTTCTGCTGGGGTTGTCGACGACTACTCGCGGTACACCACTGTGAGGATCTAGGATCGAGCTCAGAATAGAGAATGTGATTTGAATGATCACCTGGGTACAACACGAAGCTATATATAGGCTCGACACAAGGCCCCGTAACCAGGTGTTACGCGAAGGTTATGAGGGTCGCGAAGCGTCCCGAACGGAGCCTTCCTGAATTCGGTAGAAGGCAATTTGGTGGCAACCAAAAGCCCAGAATTCGGTGCACGCAACCTAGCTCGGTGCTATAGCTATAATAAAATATAGGAAAGCACCTAGTGTCAGTAGAGCTACACTGTGAGATCCCTGATCGATCCTAGGGGGGGTTACAGACGCGTTTGCCTGGGGGGTTATGGGCGCACTGACCCGCTACTGAAACAAGCCCTTCTATCCCAATGGTCTAGTGGTTGGGATTCTGACATGGTATCAGAGCGATCTCGGGTTCGAATCCCGGTGTATGCACATGTTGGCCGTTGCCACTGTGCTCAGTCCTGGGCCTCCCAGTGTGGGGGGGTGTCAGTAGAGCTACACTGTGAGATCCCTGATCGATCCTAGGGGGGGTTACAGACGCGTTTGCCTGGGGGGTTATGGGCGCACTGACCCGCTACTGAAACAAGCCCTTTTATCCCAATGGTCTAGTGGTTGGGATTCTGACACCTAGCCTATGAAATCAAGCAATTCATGCATGCATATAATTATCCTATGCTAGAAATAGCATAATAAAATAAAGGCAAGCAAGCATAGCTGGCATAAGCCGTCGTACTCTCACACGTCCCCTCCTAAAAGCTGGGTGGCGTGAGATACACCCTACTTGACAAGATAGTCCTTGAGAGCATGGCGTGCGTTGCCCATATCAGCTTCTGCAACCCAACTGTCCTCAGTGGGGTCGTATCCCTTCCAGCGGATCAGGAACTGAAGGATCTTGCCACTGCGGCACCGATGAGTGAGAACACGTTCCACTTCGTACTTGGGTTCATCCTGTATGAGAACAGGTTGTGGTGGCGGTAGCTGCCGTCCCTGGAACTGTTGGTTGGGGTCCTTGTAGGGTTTCAGTAGCTGGACATGGAAAGCGTTGTGAAGCTTCCACGTATCTGGTAAGTGCAAGCGGAATGTATTGGTGTCACCTATGCCTCAACGAGAAAAGGGACCTCAGAAGCGAGGCCGGGGTTTGGATGGGAGGTGAGACAGGTTCAAGTTGCGTGTGTTAAGAAGCACCTAATCTTCGATTGCTACTGAGTAATCACGTCGCTGACAATTGGCATAATGCTTCTGGAAGGTCTGCATCGTGGTGAGTCATCGCTGAGTCTTCTCCCATAGCTACTGCATGGTGGTGTCGAAGTCATGTGCGGCTTGGACGTGTGCCGGTGTAGTTGGCAACTGTGGTGTGAGTGGTTCCCGTCCGTAACACAGGAAGAAAGGAGTTTTCCCTGTGGCCGCATGTGATGCGTTGTTGTAAGCAAACTCTAGGGTCAGTAACTGTGTGTCCCAGTGGCTGACGTCGTCCTTGCAAGCTGTGCGCAGTAATTATTCAACCACTTGATTGAGTCGCTCTGTCTGTCCGTTAGTCTGTGGGTGGTATGCTGAGGACATCGCAAGTTTGCTCCCCAATAATCCCATGAGCTCCTTCCAGAACTTACTTGTGAGTTGGGGCCTCTGTCTGAGATGAGTGTAGCGGGGATGCCGTAGATGGTGATGATGCGGTCGAAGAAGAGCTGAGTAGTTGCTTCAGCTGTAGCTGTGGCGTTGTTCGGGATGAAGTGACCCATTTTGGAGAACTTATCGATGACTACGAGGATGGAATCATGTCCCCGTGAGGTCGAGGGAAGTCCTGTTATGAAGTCGAGGCTAACGACCTGCCATGGCTGCTCCGGTACGGGTAGAGGCTCAAGTAACCCTGCTTTTTTCTGCCTGCTACTCTTCATCCGTTGAAACGTGTCGCATGAGGTGACGAAATGCTGCACGTCTGCTGCCATCCCGGGCTAGTAGTAATGCTTTGCTTTCCCTGCTAACGTGTTGTTGCTCCAATAGATCTGCCGTAGTGGGGCGTGATTCGGTACCCAAATCTTTCCTGAACCCTTCCTTACAGCTAAGTCTTTCTCCCACTGTAACAGCTTCTTAGTCTGTGCTGTAGCGATCTCTGCGTCTACGGAGTACCCATGTTGGAATAGACCCTTGAGCAGAGGGTTCATTCCGTCGAGCTGGATGCCTGCTATATGTCCGGGGTGGCTCAATGCGTCTGCGTGGGCTTGTAGACGACGTCGTAGTGGAAGTGAGTTTCCAAGAAGTCCATCCACCGCACCTGTCGTCGTGAGAGCGTCGGCTGTAACTTCAGGTATTTGAGACTGCAGTGGTCAGTGTAGACTGTGGTCTTGGTTCCCTCCAGCTAACACCTCCACGCCTTGAAGGCTACGACTATAGCTAAGGCTTCCTTGTCGTGGATGGGGTAGTTCAGTTTTGCTCCGTGTAGCTTTTTACTGAGGTAGGCGATAGGCTGTAAACAGTTCCTTGTCAGAACATTATAGCATATACATTTGTGTAGGCTGTAGTGGGGTAGCCCATAAGGGGTACAACCCAATTAGGGTTAGTACTTGTACCCAATTGTTTCATAGTTCATTCATTCCATTCTCACTTCTCGTCATGGTATCGAGCAGGTTCCCGAGTGGGAATACTGCCTAGGGCCCACCACGATTTTTTTTTTTTCCTTCCCTGCCCGGAGCGCGCTTAGCTCCTAACCCGAGTAGCGCCTCGAGCTGCCTTAGTGGCCCCTATTGGCCGCCCTTACTGCACCTCGAGCCGCCCTCTACGGCCTCGCTTAGGCCGCTACGGCCCCGCTTAGGCCCCGTCGGCCCTGCTACAGCCCCGCTTAGGCCTTGTCGGCCCCGCTACGACCCCGCTTAGGCCCCGCTACGGCCCCGCTACAGCCCCGCTACGGCCCCGTCGGCCCCGCTTAGGCCCCGCTACGGCCCCACTACGACCCCGCTACAGCCCCGTCGGCCCCGTCGGCCTCGCTACGGCCCCGATTAGGCCCCGTCGGCCCCCCTACGGCCCCGCTTAGGCCCCGCTACGGCCCCGCTACGGCCCCACTACGGCCCCGCTACGGCCCCGTCGGCCCCGCTTAGGCCCCGCTACGGCCCCGCTACGGCCCCGTCGGCCCCGTCGGCCCCGCTACGGCCCCGCTACGGCCCCGCTACGGCCCCGCTTAGGCCCCGCTACGGCCCCGCTACGGCCCCGCTTCGGCCCCGCTTAGGCCCCGCTGCGGCCCCGCTACGGCCCCACTTCGGCCTCGTCGGCCCCTCTACGGCCCCACTTAGGCCCCACTGCGGCCCCGTCGCCACCGCGGCCCCGCCCACTCTTGCGGCCCGCCGCCACCTGCGACCTCGCCACCACCTGCGACCCCGCCTCCCAGCGCCCGCAACGCCGAGCAGCCGAACCACCGGCCTCCCGAGCCGCCCAGCAGCCGAGCCGCTCGACAGCCGAGCCGCCCCGCACCAGCAGCCGAGCCGCCCAGCAGCCGAGCTGCCCAGCAGCCGAGCCGCCCTGCAGCCGAGTCGCCCGACAGCCGAGTCGCCGAGCAGCCCGATCGCTCCACCTACCTGGTAAGAGCACAGTCTCTGCCACTGCACTGCCTTGCCTCCTGCTGTTATGGCTTCCCCTAGCGTTCTCACCTTTGACGCTGAGGGTCGGGCAGTGGACTTTGAGGTATGGGTAGATGATCTGCAGCTTTTCCTGCAGTGCGATAGGGCAGACGGCCTCTCCCTGTTTGACCTCACTTCTGGTGCCTCCCCTGCCCCAACTGCTGATGCTGACGCCACTGTTTGCTCACAGTGGGCCACACGTGACGCTGCTGCTCGCCTTGCTGTGCGCCGCCACTTACCGACCACTGAGCGTGCACACTTTAGCTAGTACAAGAGTGCTCAGACCTTGTACGGCGCTGTAGTTGCACGCTACTCTTCCCCTGCCACTGCTGCACTGAGCCGCCTCATGCTACCGTACCTCTTCCCTGACCTTGCTGCCTTTCCCACTGTTGCTGACCTCATTACGCACCTCCGCACTAGTGACACTCGCTACCGCCCTGCGCTTCTTGCTGAGTTCTGCGCCAAGAACTCCCCCCCCATGTACATCACCCTCTACTACATAGTCACCCGTCTCCCTGACTCTCTCCGTGTAGTCAGGGACCACTTCCTCTCTGTTTGCCCCACCACTCTCACCGCTGACCTCCTCGAGAAGGCCCTCCTAGCGATAGAGAAGAGCATAGTCGCTGTAGGAGCCTCTCGTGGTGACCCTCGCACCCCCGTCTTTGAGGGGTGTTCTCCCTCCCCCCTCTTGCCCTCTATTGCCTCTGCTGCTGCGGCCGACCTCGTTGGTTTCGAGTCAGTCGGCGCTGCGTCTGCCCCGAGCGGGAGACGCCGCACCGGCAAGGGCAAGGGGGGCAAGGGCACTGGAGGAGGTGGAGGGGGCGGTGGAGGTAGTGGTGGAGGCGGTGGAGGGAGTGGGGGTGGTGGTGGGAGTGGTGCTGGGGGTGGCGGCGGCGGCGGCAGCAGTGGAGGTGGCGGAGGCGGTGGAGGTGGCGGAGGGAGCGGAGGCGGCGGAGGTAGTGGAGGAGGCGGAGGTGGAGGAGGTGGCGGAGGCGGCGGAGGCGGCGGTGGTGGAGCGAGTCGCGACTCTGCGTCGAGGAGTGGCGCCGGTGGTGGTCAGCGCCAGCAGCTGCAGCGGAGTGGTGTGACCCTGTCCCCTCAGCAGCTTCGTGAGTGGTACACTGCACGCCAGCGTGGTGGGGGTTTTGGTCCCTGCTCTTACGTTCTCCGTACCGGCGACCGCACTGGTGAGCAGTGCGGGGGTCCGCACTCCACCCAGCGCTGCTTTGGTCGCCTGACGGACGCGTGGCGTCGCCAGTTCCCTGAGGCGTCAGAGATCCCTCGCTGGGGAGATCTGGCTAAGGCCGGGGTTGATATCTTTGATATTGAATTTGATGCTATTCTTGCTGCCATGTATGCTGATGCTGATAGTGTTGAGGGTGCCTGTTACCTGTGTGTACCGCCTGACCCGGGCATTAAGGCTGCTGCGCTAGGTGCTGGTGAGACTGCTGCTCTAGGTGCTAGTGCGTCTGCTGCCCCAGGTGCCAGTGCGTCTGCCGCCCCAGGTGCTGGTGAGTCTGCTCTCTCAGGTACTACGTCGGCTCAGGCCTTCCACACCTTCACCCTGGACTCGGGTGCGTCCCGCTCCTTCTTTCGAGACCGCACCACTCTTACGCCGCTTAGTCGGCCGGTTGCAGTCTCCCTAGCAGATCCCTCTGGGGATCCTGTCCTTGCTAGCTTCTCCACCGTCCTTCCGTGCCCTGCAGCCCCCTCTGGCACCCTGTCTGGTCTCTACCTCCCCTCATTCTCTACGAACTTGGTGAGTGGAGCGGACCTACAGGATCGAGGTGTTGACAAGTTCCAGTGCTTTGCGGCTGCTTTGCTCCATCTCGTGTCCACGCTGATTGCCCCTGAGGGAGACCCGGATGCACCAGACATCCCTACTCTTCGATTGTACGTTGAGGCGATCGAGGGTCTCTACTCCTCTCAGTGGGAGTCGGCCATGGACGCAGAGATGGTTTCCTGGAAGTCCATAGGCACCTACGTCGACGAGGTTCCCCCACCTGGGGCGAACATCGTCAGTGGGATGTGGATCGTCAGACCTTCTCTCCCACCCCGAAGATGACCACTCTTTGGGTGCTGCTGCACATAGCCGCTCAGCGCGACTACGAGCTTCACTCTCTTGACTTCAGCACTGCTTTTCTGCAGGGCAGCCTGCACGAGGAGATCTGGCTGCGCCGCCCTCTTGGCTTCACTGGGTCGTTTTCTCCTGGCACCCAGTGGAGCCTCCGGCAGCCAGTCTACGGTCTCCGCCAGGCGCCCCGTGAGTGGCATGACACACTGAGGACTACACTTGCGGCTCTTGGGTTTGCTCCTTCTACAGAGGACCCGTCGCTGTTTCTACGCATCGACACCTCTTTGCCGCCGTTCTACATCCTCGTGTACGTCGACGACCTGGTCTTAGCCACTGCTGACACTGCTGGACTCGCCCACGTGAAGTCTGAGCTACAGAAGAGACACACGTGCACAGACCTGGGTGAACTGCGCAGCTACCTTAGCTTGCAGATCACCCGGGACAGAGCATAGCGCACCATTACCCTGACTCAGTCACACATGGTGCAGCAGGCCCTTCAGCGCTTTGGCTTCACGTACTCCTCGCCTCAGGCCACTCCTCTGTCTACTCGCCACTCGCTCTCAGCTCTGCCTTTGGATGAGTCCGTAGAGTCGAGTGGCTCGTACCCAGAGCTTGTTGGCTGCCTCATGTACCTGATGACCTGCACACGACCTGACCTTGCATACCCTCTTAGCATCTTGGCACGCTATGTTGCTCGTGGGAGACACCGACCAGAGCACATGGCTGCAGCAAAGAGGGTGTTGTGCTACGTGTGCAGTACGTCGCGCATGGGGCTAGTGCTTGGAGGGCGACGTCGAGAAGTCCTCACAGGTCACGCAGACGCTTCTTGGGCTGACGATGAAGCTACGCTGCGGTTGTCACAGGGTTTCACCTTCAGCCTTGGCTCCGGCTCTGTTTCGTGGCGGTCTACTCGCTCGTCCTCTGTTCTCGGCTCCAGCTGTGAGGCTGAGATCTACGCAGGGGCCATGGCTGCACAGGAGCTACACTGGCTCACCTACCTGCTGACTGACCTAGGAGAGCAGCCTCGTTCTCCTCCAGCTCTGTACGTAGACAACAAGGCCATGCTGGCCTTGTGTCGGGAGCACAGACTAGAGCACAGAACGAAGCACATTGCTCTCCGCTACTTCCTGTCTCGTGAGCTGCAGCAGCGTGGTCAGCTCCGCCTCACCTACGTGGCCTCTGAGGCCAGCACTGCTGATATCTTCACCAAGGCCCTTCCGCCTTGTGATCATCAGCACTTCTGTACTGTGCTAGGTCTTGTGCCTACCTGGCCTCACTTGCTCACTTCTTGATCTTGCTTGTACTGTCTTTTTTCTGTACCTGCCCTTGCTTGTTTTACCTTTATATATATGACATTGCATGTGAACTGGCCTTGTGGCCTTACTCTTGTGCTTGGACTGTGTGGTGACTTTGTGATCCACCCTGAGCTTCCTTTGCTTTGCTTGACTGGTCTTGTGACCACTTGTTCTCCCCCACTTTGCCTATGGGGGTGTGTTAGAACATTATAGCTTATACATTTGTGTAGGCTGTAGTGGGGTAGCCCATAAGGAGTACAACCCAATTAGGGTTAGTACTTGTACCCAACTATTTCGTAGTTCATTCATTCCATTCTCACTTCTCGTTATTCCTGTGATCTTGCACCTGTACTGCTCCGACTGCCTGGTCACTAGCGTCTGCTTCAACTACGCAGTCCTTGTCTGGATCTGATAGGATGAATACTGGCGCTGTAGTCAGTGCTGTTTGTAGCTGCTCCATGGCTTGCTGATGAGGAGTATCCCATTTGTAGGGCGTATCCTTTTTCAGTAGGTTGGTCAGTGGTGCTGCTATCTTTGTGTACTCTGGCAGGAACCTGTTGTAGTAGTTGGCGAAGCCTAGGAACTGGTGTAACTCCTTCACGTTCTCTGGAACTTTCCACTTCTTGACAGCTTCGATTTTCCGCGGGTCCACGTGAACGCCCTCGGCACTCACCATGTGCCTAGTAACTGCACCCTCTTCAGGGCGAAGTCTCTCTTCAATAGCTTCACGTAGAACTTGTTTTTCCGCAGGATCTCGAACACCTTCCGCAGATGCTCCACGTGCTCCTTCATGTTCTTGGAGTAGATAAGAATGTCGTCCAGGTACACCACTACGCACTCGTCCAACAGGGGTCGTAAGATGTGATTCATCTTCGCCTGAAACGTTGCTGGTGCGTTGTAGAGTCCGAACAGCATCACGTAAGTATTCGTAGGAGCCGTATCTGGTACGGAACGCCATCTTGTGGACCGAGTTGTATGCCATCTTGATCTGCCAGTAACCCGACCGTAGGTCCAGCTTCAAAAAGACTGTTGCTCCACGCAGTTGATCGTGTAGGTTGTCTATGCGCGGTATTGGATATTTGCTTTTAACTGTCTGTTTGTTCAGTGCGCGGTAGTCGATTCACATCCATAGACTGCCGTCTGGTTTTGGAGTGAAGAGAACTGGTGCACTGTAGGGAGAGGTGGATGGGCGGATCAGTTGTCTGTCCATTAGATACTCTATCTGTTTCTTCATGTTTGTCAGCTCGGTCGGACTCAGTCGGTATGGTGCACGTGAGACGGGTTTCGCACCTGGTTCCTCCACGATCTCGTGCTCGTGGGTGCGTGCTGGAGGTACTCTTGCAGGTAGGTCGTCGGGCATTATATCCTTGTACTGCTCCAAGACCTCCTTCACTGATGCAGGTAGCTCTGCGTTCGGCTTCTCCTCCTCTGCTGCTGCCATAACCAGTGCTAGGTATCCCGTGTTACTCTCGTTCACTGTCTGTTCAAACCGTGCCAGTGTCGTTTCAGGAACGTCCTCTGTGTGTGTCCAGCTTCGTAGTGCTACCCGCTTCCCGTTGTTGTAGATGCATGCCTTCCTGTTGACCTAGTCGATCTCGGGGTTGAACAACTTCACGACATCTCGCCCCAAGATGAAATCTAGGCCTTTGATATTCGTGATTGGCTAAGTCGGCTTCCACCTTAGCGCCCTTATGTGCAGCTGCAGTGATGCTTCTCCGTGGATGGGAATTTTCGTACCGTCCACCATCGTTGCCGATAATTTGGTCTCCTCGGAAGGTTCCCCAATTTTCGCCAACGTTCCGCGGTCACACACTGAGTGAGATGCACCGCTGTCCACCAGTGCCTGGAGGCTTCGTCCTTTGCATAACACCTCGAGGAGAAGTTTCGCGTGTAAACGGCTCTGATACCAAGTATGAGAATCTAGAATCGAGCTCAGAAAAGAGAATGTGAATTGAATGATCACCTGGGTACAACACGAGGCTATATATAGGCTCGACACAAGGCCCCGTAACCAGAGCCTTGCCTAATTCGGTAGAAGGCGATTCGGTGGCAACCAAAAAGCCCAGAATCCGATGCACGCAACCTAGCTCAGTGCTATAACTATAATCAAGTATAGGAAAGCACCTAGCCTAGGAAATCAAGCAATTCATGCATGCATAGAATTATGCTATGCTAGAAATAGCATAATAAAATAAAGGCAAGCAAGCATAGCTGGCATAAGCCGTCGTACTCTCACAACCACGGTCTTCCCCTTGTGCACCAAGGATGAGGTCCCTGCTGTTCTGATCTATTGGATCCGCACAGTTCGTCTCCAGCTCCGCCGCAGGTTCCGCAAGGACCTCCCTGTCCTGCGCTTGCACTCTGACAGAGGTGGTGAGTTTTCCTCCGAGCTCTTGCGGTCCTTCTGTCAGGGGGAGGGCATCGAGAAGTCATTCACGCTTCCGGCCTCACCGCAGTAGAATGGTGTTGCTGAGCGCCGCATTGGCTTGGTCATGAAGATCGCTCGTACCTCCTTGATCCATGCGTCGGCTCCCCACTTTCTGTGGCCGTTTGCGGTCCAGTATGCCGCGCAACAGCTCATTCTCTGGCCCCGTGTCTCCTTGCCGAAGACCTCGCCCACACTGCGTTGGACGGGAGTGGTTTGCGATGTGTCGATGTTCTGGGTCTGGGGTGTAGTGCCCTTGTCCGCGATACGTCCGCGGACAAGCTCTCCCCCCACACCATTCCCTGTGTGTTCCTTGGCTTTGTCCGTGACGCGCCTGGCTGGCAGTTTTACCACCCCACCTCGCGTCGTGTCTTCCCCTCTCAGGACGTCACCTTTGACGAGTCAGGTCCTTTCTATCGCTCTTCCCTTACTGCGCTGCCCCCCTCCCTCCTCCGCCAATTTTCCTTGCTCCAGGTCCCCCTTGGTAGACCCCCTCCCCCCTCAGGGTCCTCTCAGGTAGACCCACTCCCTTTGGCTGAGCCTGTAGAGGTCACTAGCGACTCAGGTGCTTCTGCGGGTGGTGCTGCTCGGGGTACTGCGTCTGGGGGTGCTGAGCCTGTGCGTGAGGTGCTGGGGGGTGCAGAGCTTGGGGGTGCTGAGCCTGCAAGTGCGGAGCCTGGGGGTGCTGAGCCTGCGAGGGCGGAGCCTGGGGGTGTTGAGCCTACGAGTGCGGAGCCTGGGGGTGCTGAGCCGGAGGGTGCTGATTCTGGGGGCCTGTCTTCACAACGGGGGCCTCTCTCACCATACCAGCTACGAGAGTGGCTGGCGTGGCGCACCCGCATGACGAGTCGTGCTGCTGGTGCTGGAGGTACTGCTGCTCGAGGTGCTGCGGTTGGAGCTGCTGGAGCTACTCGTTGTGGAGGCGCTGGGGGTGCTGGTGTTTCTGGTTCTGGAGGTGCTCGTACTAGAGGTACTGGAGCGGCCAGGACTGGTGGTACTGCTGGCGCTGGGGGTGTTGGTACTACTGGCGCTGAGGGTCCTGGAGGTGCTCGTACCCGAGGTACTCAAGCTGCCGGGGTCCGTGGTGCTGGAGGCACTGGAGCTGGGGACTCGCGCGTTGGAGTTCGAGACCTTGGAGCTGGAGGTGCTGGCCCTTGAGGTGCTGGCCCAAGGGGTACTGGATCTGTTGGTGCTGAGCCTTGGGGTGCTGAGTCTGCTGGAGGTCCTCTTGGTGCCGCGTCGCAGCGGTCACCTCTCTCGCCGCAGCAGGTGCGCGAGTGGCTTGCTTCGTGCACCCGCCTTCGGAGTCGCACTGCTGGAGCTGGAGGCACTGCTGCTGGAGGTGCCGGAGCTGGAGGCACTGGAGCTGGAGGCGCTGGAGCTGGAGGCTCTGGAGCTAAAAGTGCCGGTTTTGGGGGTGGTACTGCTAGTGGCACTACAGCTGCGGGACCTAGAGCTGGTGCTGTTGACCCT